CAACCCTAACTATTCTATGATTCTATAAGCCACTGTTTCACACAGAGTTGCTGAATGTATTACTACCTCATCCCTTATAAATTTCAAGGCCTTTTTTCCTGCCAGATTTCATTACTTATATGTATTTACAAATAAACTTTTCACATATCTAAGTACTTTTAAACCAGTTCTTTTTGAATAGAATGATCAATTTTATCAACAAAACTCACAAAAGCTATTTTCAGTGTTTATGCAGTTGGATGCCAGCGAACGTGAACGTACCAACTTCCGTGGGGCAGCAATAGCAGAGCTCTTTTATCCCTGTCTGTCTTATTTTACAAACTTCTAGAAAATTAGCATCTTTGACAGCATTAACAGCTACCTGCTACCTTGACTGGAACAGACTGACATGCAAAAATAACTGTAGGGTGCTCTTGCACAATGTGACTGTTCAAGCTTCATTTCCCCAGGAAACCAGAATACAAATGGGGGCAGGTTCTTCAATGATCTATGTCAGGCAAACTTGAGTCTGCCTCTTGATTTTTGTTTAAAGCATATTAAATGCTGCTCATCTCCTCAATAGCAAAAGCTTTAAAAGCAAAAATCCCTGAAAAGAGAAAGTATTGCATTACGTTTCTAAATAGTTGCCTTACCTTTTAAAAGTACTTTGAGAATGTATTTTTTGACATGTTATGCCAGATATGGAAAGGAAATTGTCTGATAAAAGCTATGCTGCAGCTCCAAACTAAAGTTGCAAAATCAATTGAAAATGCTGCCTTACCCAACCCACAAGGATATGGCCAACATGTTCTGTTGATCCATCAGGTTTCCTGACTTCTTGAAGTCGCCTAAGAAGATCTAATCATGATTAAAAAAAGAAGAGAAACTGCACTTAATGAACCAGATGACTATAAATCTATGTGCAATAGTAATGCAGAAAAAGACTATTTGAGTTTTACCTTCATGCAGAGGAATTAGAGAGTCCAATGTTCCAAAAATTTGGTTCAGCTCTTGCTCTGTCATTATGGAAAGTTTAAGCATTGGGTCATGGTAAGCCTGAAAGAAAAAAGGGGAGCTCTGTAATTAACATATCACTGGTAGCTGAAAACTTAGCGATAGCATTTAAAGCTTCCTGTAAGCAAAACCAGACCAATTGCTGAGAATATTTGGAAGTTTTCATAACCCTATCTTAAAATATCAGTTTTATACATTAAAAAAAGCAGCACTTTTAAGTGTTTCAGAAAGAATGGGCAAACAGAATTATGCTTTGGTTCCCCCCTGCCCTGTCTCAGCAATTGTAAGAGCAAGGATTATTTTAAAAGTTATATGAACCAATCAATACTGTTTGTTGTATTGGGTTTTCTTGTCTGATTGTTTTTTTTGAACATACCTTTTTTGCTAACTTCAGATCTTCTATCAAGTCTTCTTCTCCCTGGGCAAGCTCAAAGATAGCCTGTAAAAAGAGACACAAATATCATAACATATATTTTATTTAATCTATACTCCACTTGTTGAGTTGATGTTACATTCTGAACAGCTGCCTTAATACCACGTAGCAGAATTTCTCTGCTAAATCTAATTGCAGAAATAGAGTAAAGCTTTATTCCACAGCTGTAGAAACATGCGGTATTGTTTAAAACAGAGCTGTGTCAGATTGCTCAAAAAATGCTTATCTGAAATAGCACCGAATTCTTTTTTCAAGCCAAGGTGTTTCCAGACGGGGGAGCTATTTTCAGTGTGATATTTTGACTCAGTTGTATCTTAACCATTTCACAGAATCATAGAACACCAGGTTGGAAGGGACCTCAAGGATCATCTTGTCCAACCTTTCTAAGCAAAGCATTTATACAACTATTTGCACAGGTGTTTGTTGTGCTCCATTTTAACACTTGCAGTGGTAGAAGTTCCATGTGGTCTAATAAGTAAAAGACAAGCCTTCTCTAAAACATTTATTTGGCAGTGAGCACTTTTATTTTGGTACCAGTTTGTTTTCGTAGGCTGAGCCCTACTTAACTATCAGCTGATGTTAGTTACTTCTCTTGAAGGAGATCTGAGACTTTAAAACCAGGAGATTAAAAATGACCAGCGCCCTAATACACTAGCTTATCAAAATACCATTGTTGTTTACTTACTGCATGATTTCATTCTAAACTGGGGTACAGAAATAAGTTAACAACATTTTGGTCAGTTAGAATTACCAACTTCACAGCCAAGGCTTTCAGCCCGCATAAATCATGGAAGAACATCATCAGCTAGTGCAGATGCTCCTACTAGATAACATGCATACATGGCAGGCTTGCCATGGTGTGAGTTAACTGACAGCACAGGCATGGAAGTAGTTCAGATACTCTGTTGAGGCACGCAGCGTAAGAACCTTCATGCAAAAGTTCCTGGAATACAGCTCATTTATTTGGGTTTCATGAAGGGTTCTGGCTTCTGCCCTAAACCAGTAATGACTGTTGTGCTGTGCAAGTAGTTCATACAGTTCATTTTACAATAAGCTGCCTTTGAAGGTCTGAAGGTCTCCATTTTAAAAGTGATTTCCTATAAATTCTTGTACAATGTTAAAATCTGCACAAGAAATGCCTGACATTACTCCTTCATTCATTACTCGGTTCCTGAACTACTCTCAGAGAGATTATTGTAAACTTGTGTTGCCACTGCTACAAATTTTTTTAGGGGTGTGGGGAAAACTTGATTCCACAGGAGATCTGTCATTGGCTGTAACAAGAACTACTTAGAATTTGTCATGTTTAACACATTAAACCCACTAATGCTTTGGAAGATACATATTTTGATCAATATTTTATCTTTCTAGCACTGAAAACTTCCTCAAAGACACTCTTTTCCAAGCCTTCCAGTATCTGAAGGGGCCCTACAAGGATGTTGGGGAGGGACTCTTCATTAGGGACTGTAGTGATAGGACAAGGGGTAATGGGTTCAAACTTAAACAGGGGAAGTTTAGGTTAGATGTAAGGAAGAAGTTCTTCACAGTGAGGGTGGTGAGGCACTGGAATAGGTTGCCCAAGGAAGTTGTGAATGCTCCAACCCTGGAGGTGTTCAAGGCCAGGCTGGACGGAATCTTGGGTGACATGGTTTAGTGTGTGGTGTCCCTGTCCATGGCAGAGGGATTGGAACTAGATGATCTTAAGGTCCTTTCCAACCCTAACTATTCTATGATCCTGTGTGTACGTATCACTTGAATACCTGAAATAGCATGCTCATCTATCATTACTGGAACAAAATGAACCATCAAAGTATCAACTGTCACTACAGAAACTGTCATACAGAACATGTACACTCATGCAGGCAATCACAGTACAATATATCATAGTAACTTCACATTCATTAAGGAAATATGAGCTGATTTTGAAGAATATATTGATCTAGTATAGCTTTAATTATAAAGACAAGGGATGAAATTCTGCTTCTAGTGGAGGTGGTGACATTCTGTTTAATTTCAGGAAAGGTTTAAGTGCTATCCTAATGCCTACTGGCATTCTTAAACTCCATGCTTTAAAGGTGACTTCTGAGCATGAAATGTATGGGGAAAAAAATTATACCTCTTGACGCTTGATTTCTTTAGATGTAAGCATGTGATTGACACAAACATCAAAGGTCTCGCTCCACAGTTTGCTGTCTCTCCGCTTTGTGTTAGCAGGGGGCATATTTCGAGACCATGATCGTGGACTGAACAGGTCTGGGCGACTCTCGCTACGGAAACTGATAGAACGCTAGAAATAGATAGAAGAATAGTTTTTAGTGTTATAACAGTTTCACATGACACATTTTTCCCCTCTAAGGATTCTATATACATAGTATATAAATAAATATACATACGAAAAGGTAGGACAGCAAAATCTGTTAGATAAACTCATCCTGTGTATCACCTTAAAGTCAATAGAATTGTTGGATTTTGTTTATTTTGTGGGGTGGGACTGTTCAAAGATGTCTGTACTGGGAAACACTAGGTTCTATCTTGAGGACACCAGGTGAAAAGGTGCATTTCATCAAACATATTAATGATTTAAAAATAAGGTATTTTCTCAGTTGAGCAGAAAGCGGGTTCAGGAACTAAAATTGCCCTTTAAACCTTTCCTCTTACCTTAGTAAGTGTCTTGCTACCTGATAGTAATAATTAATTCATGCTATAATGCTCCAACCAAACTGGTTTTGAAGGGAGAAACCCTTTCATCCTGCTTACTGAGATACATAATGAGATGAAGCAACTAATTCACATGGAAAGGTATGAAATGGACATCTGACTGAAAAGAGAAGAACAATCACACTATCTTTAAGGAAAAGGTATGTAAACACTCGGTTTTAATGTTTATGACAAGCAAGATGGTTTTTACACTGGTTGCTCCTGTTTACCCCTTAAGCATTTGAAGCAGCATGTTAAACAATCATTGCTAGCAGACAGCAAATTGTGAAATACCAATATTGTGTTCTACAGCTGTAGAGTCTGTTTTCATATTTCTGGAGCCTCTAAACTCTGATGATGTGTACCAGCATCGCTGTATCTGTTATGTGGTCTGGTCTTAAACTTCACTAAGAACAAGTCCAATTTTAATTTAAGTGAGACTCAAGAGTTCTATCTGACTGTACACTCTTCAAAAGACTTCAGGCTAAGGATGGATACTTTATGGTCTCACTGCTATTCTGAAAAAAGATTCCTTTCTTATTTCATTATAATTCAAGGCTTTTTTTGAGGTCCTACCTCTGAAATGCTTCAAGTATTTCACATCGTTGAAATACTCTACATGTTTGTTGTTATTAAAACCTGCCTTAAATAACACAACAGTCTTTCCGTTGCCTTAGGTAAGAATATTTGAAACAAAATAAATTCTCTTCATTTCCAGGTTGAAAGCAGCATATACGAAGTACAATATTTGAAATTCTCTCTTGAAACTAAGATCCCATGAAATGCAAAGAGTACCTATAAATACAGTATGTTTTTAAAATATCAGAGTATGTATTATGTAATTACTGTGGTTTTTAACATAGACCATTTTGAGCCTCTCCTTGGAATTGACAAACCTCCTAAAAATAAACACACACACATATATACACACCAACGTTCCAAAACTTTGCAAGTCAGGTGCTAGTCTTCCTTCAAGAGTTAGGAAGATAACACATGTGAGATTACATGCTTAGTTTACACTTGTTGTAATGCTAAATCATGGAACCAGTTACTTTCACATGCAAATGGAAAGAATAGTGGGGAAAAAAAGGCAGGTGTGTTGCATCCACAAATCACCAACCATGGGAATGCAGCCAAGCAGAACAGTTGTCATTCCATGACCCAAGGTGGAATGCTCCTTTCCATGCATTCCCATATGCGTCCTCCAGTATTTAGCTCCTTTCTTTGTGGTGGTGTTTTCTTAAAGGAACATTTTATGTTGAATACTTATAATGAAAAGCACCAGACAGACTGATTTTTAGAGTAAATGCCTTGACCTTGAAACCTTTTAACAAAAGGTCATATACCATGTTATAAAATGGGATGCACCCATAACAGCAAACAAACTCCATACAGTGCTATGAGAAATGCTTTCACATCCACTGATGCTAACACTTCTTTATGCTTCATGAGAAAGCTTGATGCTGTTCTCTACAGCCCTATACTGTCCTCAGTTGGACAGAAGGGGCACAAAAAGTCGAGGAAACTCAAAAAGAAACCAAACTGCCCAAAATCCTGCTTCCTTGCTTAGCATCTTTGCTACCTGGACACTGTAAGTATATATCTAATTGATTTCTCTCATACATTATCCTTTTAATTAGTCATACAAAATGCACCGTGCTTAATATTAATAAGAACATTGGACTGAGGGTATTTATTAATGGAAAGGGACAGAAATGTTTTGAGGAGTTATTTAACAATGAGAACAAAGTTCACTTCAAGGGCAAGTGGTTCTTTGTCTGGCATGTTCCCTTCCTTTATACACTAACACAGCAAAGGCAAAACCCCTGACTGACTTATCCTAGGACACTGCAATCTGGTTAGGCCGAGAATCACACACTTCAGTGTTGAATCCAAGCTTATTTTAGCATATTAATTTATCCTTTGCATACATGCTGGAGACATTGGATTGTAAAGCTATGAAGAGACAAACTAATACATCCAGGGAAATACTATTTAATGCTAAAATTAAGACTTTGTCCCTTAAGAGTTGAGCATACCTGAATCGCCAGTGCTGTAACAGACAAAAGAAATGAGATGTAAACCTGATATATAAGCTAACTAAAGAAATCCCCAAATAATCAATACATTATTTCAAGAAAACTCTCTGATAATGTACAACGTCAGTTTAACTATCTCAGTTCTACTACTTTACACTTTCTTTTGCAAATCAACAGGCCCGTTTCAGTTTTGTGGAACAAAGCCCTAAACTGAAGCAATACCAGAATTTTTTTAAAAGCAAGCTTAACGGCACCCTAATGGCATCTTTGGTTGGTATTTGCCATGAAAGGGGAGAGGAAATCAGTCATGTGACAGAATCCCATGAAGGAACTGTAGGAATGTCAAAAGAGCATTTCTGCATCTCCAGTCTTTTAAAAATATTTCCCCAGATTCTGGCTTTCTTCAAAAATATGCCCACGATACCAGAGAAAAAACTGTGTCTATCTGGGATTATGAACATTTTCAGATAATTCACAAAAACTCAAGGACCTGGGGAATAACCCAGCCACAACCCCTGGTTTTATTTCCCATATTTATCTGACTGCAATAGCTTTAACTGGCTGTTACAAGACTGTTACTATGAAGGGTCTATGTGTTACTGATGTTAATTCATGCAATTAGCATCTCTTCATTTCAGCTGCAGTAAAGCAAACAGCTTCATGTACTGGGAAAAGGGCACTACAGAGCAAAGTCCCAGCATTCAGAAGAGTTTTCTTAAGGATTTTTAGAAATTTCCAGTGTCCTAAAACAGATAAAAATAATTTGGACTCCCTACAAGACACACTGATGAGAACTGAGGCTGCAGAGGAAGCTAGCCAGACTTTCATTTGTCTCTTCAGCATCAGCTGGAGTTTTTTCTGATCCTATTTTCAGCTTTTAAGCCAAACAGCACAGCTGTGAATAAAAGCAAGCAAAAACAAGCAGATCATCACAATCATTAGCCTTGCTTGATGCAGACTGAAAATACAGCTATGAAATATAGTGGCTTTCCAGGTAAGAATAACTGCTTAGCATTTGGTATCCTGAAGATATAGAGTCTCTGTGAGAGATCAAGCTAAGACCACGATATTAGTTAGTCTACAGTGCTCTGTGTGACAGGAACAGAGTGACTATAAACAGTCAAAAAAAAAATAAAAAAGCAAGCTGGAAAGATTTTGTGTGTTTTGGTTTTTGGGTTTTTTTTTTCCATTTAGAATTCTTGTGGAAAAATATTGACAATAATGTGGAAAATTGTTATAAAGGTGAGAAGACAAAAAATCAAATTCCTCTATAATCGATGCAAAATAGGAAAAATCGCTAAGAATGTATCTTAAAAGATCTCAGAGGTGTTTCTCTTCAGCCTGCATGCAGAAGGTCTGTTAATATCAAGTGGAACTTACATGTACAGAGGCAAGGAAAATAATGCACAATAAATTTAGTTTTTTCCTCTTATATGTATCTTCCATTCAGAAAGAATATAAGAAGGTTTGACTGAAATGCCATAAAGGAAACTCAGGATTTTCTAATTCCTTTTATTGATGCTGGTGGAGTGATCCTTTTGGATGGATGCTCTATTGGGCTTGTTCTGTTTTCTTCCAGAAGAAGAATTTGTTTGTTTTGGATGTTGTGCTGTTGACAGTAGTTTTCTTCATTTTACTGATACAGAATATCTAGCAGCAATGCAAGAAGAAAGGTTTTGACTGAAATACCTTAATCATGAAGATACATAAAAGTTCATCCAGTAAGAAAAATCAGCACTTTCTGCTTTTTACAGGTATCACATGATGAAAAAAAATCCTGCTCTATAGTGTTCCAGAAGGCACAGTGACAGCTATGTCAGTACGTAATAAAGTAAAAAATTATACATGCTTCTCAATGTTTCTAAATAATTCCAAATGGGGCACCCAAGCACTAGGTCAGTCTTTTTTTTTTTTTCCCCCCTGTTCTGCTGCTGCTGATGAAAACAGGTAAGAAGTCAAATTAGAGCCAGCTATGAAGGCAGTTTTGAGAGACATCACCAGCATGTATCACTTGGGAATGGTTTCTGACCTAGGATTTGAAGAACATACAGGCTGATTTCTCACCACAGTTCATAGTTACTTAGAAGAGATGGTATGAGTAACATCACCGCTTAATCTGCTTAGAAGCAGACAATTAATTAAAATATATTCTTATAATAAATACGAACAGAGCAAGACAGAAATGCTGCCAACAGTAGGACTTGCAACAAAGCCACTGTTTTCTCTCCTATCTTTGTCAAAATCTGCCCTCAAACACATTTATATACCTCTCATCTCAGAAAGCTGCTACTTACTACATGTGTGAAAGGGTAGTTTGTTCCAGATAGTCTAAATCAAACTTTTATTAAATACAGCATTGACCTGGACAGACCAGTCTCTAAGGCGTTCGCTACAGGACAATAGCGTAGGTACTTAGATGAGGACAACAGCTGTCTCAGGCTGTGAAAAGGGAAGCACAGAAGCAGTTTAGCCAAGAATTAATTCACTTTCCACACTCCTCAACAACTGGAACTAATGCAGTCCTTCCAGAGCCGGGCCAAATTTTTCCTGGAAGCAGACTATGGAGGAGATTTATACACCCCAGGGAATACAGGCATGTCTGCTCTAGTCACGCTATAATACACCTTCTGGATCAAACCCAGGCTGAGGGGAGTTCAGACATTTTGCCTTTCCTCTAACCCCATGCATGTGGCTTTTCTCTGCAGATGTCTGCACGTCCAAAATCACAGGAACAGGAAAACCAGTATTAAAGAAACCCTGTGATACCTGTTTTCTACAGTGCCCCTACAGAAAAAAATGGGTTCCTTCTCATGATCTTTCTTTATTTCTCGTAAGACTCCTAGCTCTAAAGATTTATTTCTTTACCCCTTGAGATTAAGAGAACTTCAGTAATGCTCTAATTAAGCTAATTTAGATTAAGTAACATTTTTAATACGTTTAAGATATTTTTATAATTTCCTCTCAAAGAAGTTAAGCTTGTTAAATAAGTTTTAGATCTTACACATGCCTTCTTGCATAAACTGTTTTAAAGAGGAAAGAGTCTGGCCTTCTAGGCCAGACCCACAGCAGTACTGCAGCTCCCAGCTATGAGCCACTCATCATAATCATCAGGAGCTGAGCACCCAAATGTTTTGCAGTCTCTAGGTCTGAAAGCACAAATGCTCTATAAAGTTCCGTTAGTCTCTAAATACATTAAATATTACACACCTAATCTATAACCATGACAAAGTACAACATTATTTAATTTCTAAATGGCATTTAAAATTTGCTTGCCCTGTATTAATTTCCATCATCAGCTTTAGAAAATGACTTTTTTCCCATTGCTCACTATTTTGTTGAGGCAAGGTCAAAGATCACCACACAGAAGGGAATTTAGCACTACCAAAACCAACATTTTCAAAGAAATCAACCAAAATGAAAAGAAAGTGTAACAGGAAATTCTATTCCTCAAATTTAAAAAGCAATTGTAACCCTTTAGTCTTAACTTTTATATGCTACAGGTGCAATAGTTTTCTTGCTGACAATTAAAAAACATGAATTATTTGGACAGAGAAATTGTGGGGTTTTGGGGCTGTGAGTTTTCAAGTTGAGTAACTCTGTAGTCGTAAGCTGTTTGGGACATTAGAATGGTGTTTGTGCACGTATGTGCAGTTAACATTCCCACGCTAATCCCAGCAAAAGCGGTGAATATGTATGCACTCCCCTTCTAGCAATGTGCATAATGCAGCAGTGCATTTACTGCCATTACCTGAAGTGTCTGGCTGAACCTTTTTTTTGAGTGGCTCGCACAGGAGGAATGAGACTCGCCAGTGATGTGACTCTGGAAAGTGGCTTCACCCGTTTGTTACTGGGCTCCTGTAGTAGGGGAGGAGGACAAGGGAAAGGAAAAATAACAGGGGGAGTGTGAGCATAATCAGATGAACACTAACAGTTTAGCTGGTTTTTCCCAAGAAAGCATTTGTAAAAAGCAAGTTTGTAAATCTGGTATAGAATCAGCGCAGTAAGTATACTAGTCATTTTTAAGGCTGACAGTGACATTACTCTTGACTGGTACATACAGATCCTGGAAACAGCTGAAAAATACAATGACAGAGCATGGCTGGGAGCAGGGGAAAGGAAGAAGGTAAAGAAAGACTAAATCATTTTATTATATTAACTCAAAAGAGAAATTCTCCTCAGTGCTTTGCAGCTCGTGTATTATGGTAACACATCATGGAAAGGAATACTTTCAAATAAAAACAATTCAGTTTCTTTGCCTCTGGCACTGTCAGCACATGACTCTCTTCTGTCAAATATATTTTATTCCAGAAAATATAATTTAGACAGAAATCCCTAACTGTAATTGTCCTCTGAGTGCATGTTCCTATGGAAATACTTACACAGACAGGCAAACACGTTAATAACATGTTTACATATATATAATTTTCACATAAAATAGGACAGAAAATTAAACAAGTATCTACCATAAAGCATTTAATTGTTTTTCTTCTCATGTATACTTGTAACAGCACTTATAGTAATAACATAACCACTTCAATGTAATATACCAATTGTCCTGCAGACTGCAAAAACCACAAATGTTAACAGAAATCGTAAGACAAGGAAAAAATTGATTATAAATACATAAAAATGGAACAGTTACCCTTGGCTTCCTAACCTCCATCTGACATTTAATGGATCTTGAACAGCACATGCAAAAGGCAATTTTTGACAGAAAAAGAGCCAAACCTTCCAAGTGACGTTAAAAAAACCCATCCAACATCATCTTTCTTTTTCAGCCATGCTTATGAAGTTCGTGTAGGTTTGCTATGCCTCTAATTTCATAGACAGAGCTTTAAGAAAATGAAGCATGTCTATTATCCTGTTGTTCAGAAATCCAAATCCTGCTGGAAATAACTCAGATTTGTCCTGATACCAGAAAATAATAAATCTCAGCAGCAACGACCATCATCCGTATTACTGGCAAGAAAAATTCGCTTCCATTAGTACAGCAACAGAAGAAAGGTGAGGAGCAACTACATATTTAATTTACTTCTCAGCAGGCAGACCTGGAAATCCATAACTGCCGACTGAGATGAGGGACAAAGTGTTTAACCCTCTAGCAAAAATAATGTATTCCATCACACATGAAACCTGGCGTTAAAGAATTTCAGCTGCCTAGATCAAGCTATATCCTTATCTTCACTGTTGCACTGCTATTCATGTTGCTACATTTTCAGCAACCATGTCTTTGAGACATGTTTTTGAAGGAGTATTATTTTACGTCACTGCAGCACCGGCAGCACACTTATCTACAGCATCGGCATCCCCACCCCCCTCGCCTCACTCCCCAAAAATGAAGAATAATCTTGAGATTCCACTGTAATTCTTCTCTAGCTGGTGGCTCAGCCACTGGCTCTTCCTTTTTTATGATTATTCAGAATGCCAGTCCTGGTGCACAAATAATATCCCATGGCAGAGCCTGCTTGTTAGGAATCACGCTGCACTGCAGTGAAAGGACATGAAGTCCCTGACATGTGCCAGCAGCACAGCTTTTGCTAACACCTCTACCTTAGCAGCCAAGATTACTTAGGCATAAATATCACACCCCAAAACCAAAATCTGGCAATCAAGACTGCATGGACTTTTCAGAAAACAGGGAGAGGGGGATTAGGACTAAAAGATTTCTCTGTCTTTACTGGTTGAAAGGCAAAACTCATACAAAAAAAGCACAAACTTGATCTATCATAGCCATATCTTGCTTTCTTAAAGTTAAATGGTCCCCATAGTCTACCAGACCTTTTCCACATACAGTTCACAATTTCGCAATCTTTCAGCCTTGATCTATAGCAAAACTAAGTTCAGAAGCCCTTGGATAATATCCTTAGGAGTCTACTGTCAGCAAATAAAATCACAAAGGAAGTAAATCCATATTTCAATGCATCTCTGCAGTATTTCATTTGAACGTGTGGCAAAAAACTTGAATGAAACTTTGAGTAGTGCTTAAAACTAAGTAAGTTACAGCAAGTCAGTCCATCCTTGTCTGAATACTTCCAAATACTGTGTGTATAACTGCAGGTGCAGTTTGTTAGTTACTACCCTAAGCCTGCAGAACAGAACCCGAATTGCTTTGCAGCGTGGGGCACATAAACCTCAGGCAGCTGTGAAGGTTGATGTATAACACTGGAGAAAAATCAGCCTGGGTAAAAAAAACCCAGAAATCAGCTGCTTTCTCTTGGAGAGTGAAAGAAAGTGGAATAAAGAAACACAATTTCCCCTTCTTCACGTCAGACAGCCCAAAGGCTCTGTGAAACCTGCTCTGTCTCCTAGCCAAGGATATCTACAGTTCCAGGGAGAACACAGTAGAGCCACCACCAGCCCTTTAAAACTTCCCCATCCATTTCAAGGAGGAAAATGCTACAACAGTATAATTTTTACTCATGTTCCTGCTGCAAAACTTGACTGAAAATAAAAATTTATGTTAAGGACAGGGAACTCCAAATAGATAATCAGCCACCATCAGAAAACATTAAGCTCTTTAGAGCCTCTTTTTGCAAGCCACCAGAGGTCAGCACTTCTCAGCAGTGAAAAGGAAAGGGAGATGATGGGTTCTGGAGTTCCCACCCCTTCTGTGTCAGCAACAGAATGCATGCAATGAATGCATCGTATTCTGATCTTGCACTGAAAGAATCGGATCAGAATCCAAAACAGCTAAACATATCATTCAAATTGGGAACTCAAATTCATTAACAGAGATCAACATTATTACAGGATTTTCTCTAATACAATTAACTTCAGGTAACTTCAGAATTCCAAGCTTGACACCTCTACCAATGAGTTCTGAAAGTAAATCTCGTTCATCATGACTTCTTTATTATGGGGAAAGCTTTCAGTATACTTCTAATGTGATTTTCATCCTGCATTAGAAGCTATCTGGTAAGGTTAAGATACCTAACTGGAAGTGAAAACTCATCAAACCTTAGTGCTCCATGTGTCATCTCCCCCGTGATAAGACTAAAACCAAAAGCAATCAGCACTGAGTCACTGCCTCCAGTGTGGAATAGCAGAGTTTGTAGAGATAAGGCTTTGACTATGCAATGAAAACTGTGCACTATTGGAGCAATTCTAAACTTGTGAGATAATACTACTGGAACTGTTGGACACTCACAGTGTTTCTGTGGCATGGTCTACATCCATTCTGCCTCTACCTCCCAGTTCATCAGTACCCTTATTCCCAAGCTGTGTCACCTCTCGAAACCAGCAGCAAAGAGAAGATGAACAAACTACTGAGACCAATGATCTGGACAGGGATAATTCCACAGTCAAGTGCATAAAACCCGAAGTTTTAAACAGATGCTGTTTTTCTTACCAGAGGCTCTGTTCTGCACAACCAACAGATTAAATGAAAAGAGGAGAGTGTGTGAACTGTTCTGCTTTACCCAGAGCTACTGACCAGAAGCTGCACTTGCACATTAGCCCAATAAGTTCAGGGAGCTGCATTTCAGCTGCTGCTTCCCAAGCCTCTGCAGTTTTACCTATTGACTTTTAAAATAAGAAACTGCTTGTGGCTAGGAATTCCTGATACATGTGTTCATTATTTTAGTAATTTGTCTCTGAAACACCTCTGATTTTCTAGTTAACCAGGGGTCTTGCAACCATGAGATCTTTCAGAGTATGAATCTGAGCACACAAGAATGCAGAACTGTGTGATTCCCGTGTCTGGCCAGCAAGAAGAGGCTCCAGGAAGGGCATATTATCCAGGAAGAATGACCATCAGACTCTGGTCTGTACCTCTTGGCATGCTCAGAAGACTCAGAGCTACCCAACGTCATCACTCCTCCTTCCCTCCTGGTTCAGCGAACTCTGAAGCAGACGTGATTGAGAGATAGGATTTAGTGGCTGGATCCACTCGCTCCAACTATCATCTGTCCAGACTGGGAATTGGGCCAAGTTATGACACAAAAAAATCCAGGAGTTACAACAATTTGCCTGACCATTTAGAGTTGTTATTATTGGTATTAAAACATCATTTCAGAGTTTGGAAATTACTAAGTGTTACACTGCATCTTCAGAGTCATGAAGACCTGCCAAAACAATATGGGAAGTAAGTTAGAAAACAAAAGATCCAGACTAGAGTTTGGCAGAGTTTCCAAAATGTGGAGCTGATGTATGTGAACAAGTAATGTCAATCTGACAGCGCTTTAAATTTGATATAAGGCTAAATAAAGCTGAGGGAAACATGAGTGCAGGAACTTCAAAGGCTGAACAGTCAAGTGAAGTCAAATTAATACCTGACTAGGCTAGAACAAAGAGCAGATGGCTTTTGGAGGGAGCTGTGTATTTGAACTCAAGATGACTTTGGGAACGTTTGAATTCAGAGAGCAAAAAAAATATAGCTGGACATACTGTGTGTATACACAGCCTCAAAAAAGAACTCTTGAAACTATGAACAAACTGATAAAAGTAGCAAATCTGTGTCTAAAATCTGATGGTTCTGGAAACCACACAGTGGACATCTCAAAAAAACACCATGTCCTTCTGAGAGGGTGTATTTTTATCATACACATTTTTGGAAATTCATAGGAAGAAAGATCAGAGTAATCACAATGGCATGATCACTGATTATCACAAAGTTAAGACTGTGAACTACCAGATAAAACGTTTTAAAGATGCCATGCCTAACCATTCTTCTGATTGGGAATGAAAGACACAGTGCTCTAGATCACTTCTTCACTGTAATTTATTCCATACATCCTATATATACATAATTGTATTTCTAATATCGTCTACATATTAAATTCTAACCTAATGATTTAGACTGCTGAGTAAGAAAGGAAACCTCTACCTTTTAATGTGTAACTCAGAAAAAAATAGCC